CACAAGGCGAACCTCCAGTGAGAAAGTACATCACTGAAATTTAGAGAGCTCTGTTAGAAAGTTGCCTATACCTTTTGTAGCTTGTCTGTGCAATTAATATTTACAGGAAGAACAGTTTCAGTGGCTGCATGGCACCTCTGTTTTTTTATTAGACTGAAATTCCCCTGACATCTGCGCTGCAAAGGCATTCAGTAGTCACATAGCATCAGTGCATGTACTAGTGTGTCTCTACTGTGGGAACGCAACACTCAAAAACCCACACACCATATGTTAATGGTAATCTATTGATGGTGCCAGGGTTTTGTATGACTGCAGCTCAGGGTCAGCCAGAGGATCAATCAAGAGGGGAATCAGTGTCTTTCTTGAGGGCAATCTGGCCGCTTGGTGCTTGCTGATATGAATGATCAGGTGCTTCAGCTGAAGTTTGTTTAAAGCTGAATTGGATGAAAAAAAAAGTGTTGCTTGACATGTCAACATTATTAAAGATTATGTTCTTTAATCATTCACATGCTATGGCAAACTGGACACAGAGTAATCCAACAATATGGGTAGGACGTGAACGCATCGATCTTTTAGTATTGATTTAACTTTAGGTCACATTAGTGTGACATAAGATAAAATAACGGGCTACAATCAGGATCAGTGTGAAAACAGCCAAATTCATATTTGAAGACATTTGTTAAATTTTCGATTTTGAATGAGGATAACAAAATTCCATAGGGGTGACCTTTTCACCTTTTTGGGTGTAAAAATATGAATCAAGAATTGTTTGAGGCACATTTCAGCCCTCTCAGTGGGAGAGTAAGAGAAACATCCATTTTATCTTATCTGCCTTTATTACATGTATTTTAATGTGAATTATAGGCCTAACGAAGTATATGGTCAAAAAAACCCACCTGTTTAAAAACATTTATGGCCTATAGGAGCTACAGTGACACAGCCACTGGGGAAACTGGGTATAAGATGAAACCCCCAAGTGGCCTGTTTTGTTGTCAGATTTCATTTATTTCCTGCAAACAACAAATGTTCCAATGGCAAACTGACTAAATAATGACAGTTTAACCGTTTCAAATCAAGCATCAATCACCTTTCTAACACAACAGGCTATTTTGTGCAGCGCGGACGCAGACCAGACATTTAGTCGCTTGCGCAATCGCGTTTGGAAACTTTGTAAAGGGCCTGCTTTTATTTTGGGGCAGCATTAAATCCGATCCCCTTGATGCGTGGGGAGAGCAAAGTGAATTAGAGATTGAGGTGGGACGCTGATTAACCCTCCCCCTCCCTCCCTCTTGCAACCGAGACCAAAGTCCAGATGCAAAGAAAAGGAGGAGACAGAAAGAAGATATTTGAAAAGCTGCCACGAGTTCCCTGTCACACCGCCTCCTGCGTGGATTGAGCCGAGCTCTTTGTTATCCACAGGCATGAATACTGAGTGCATGTAGAGAGAACAGGCCCAGAAAAGAAAAACACTGGGGATACGTCTGCATCTGAAGCCCAAACCAAAAATACACTGACCCACAATGCGTGTTGGTTTCAGTGTTTTTAATGACCTTGTTGTAGGTGATGTCATTATCATGTTCAAAATGTTTGGTTATCTGATAAGTATCAATACTGCTTAATATCGAAGCTCGGTTATCTGATAAGTATCAATACTGCTTAACATCGAAGCTCGGTTGTGGCCTCATATATGGCATTTTTAGTCAGCATTAGTATTATCACAACATTATAATTCAATTCACTTCACTTCAGCTTTGCGCCACACACACGCACAGAGAGAGAGAGAGAGAGAGAGAGAGAGAGAGAGAGAGAACAATCGATCCCTCCTCCGGATACAATCACCTTTCTGCAAACACGTGGGTATCTGTCTGACCACTCCACTCCTGAAGTGGAAGGGGGTTGGGTGATGGCAGGGCACAGGTGTCCAACAATCCACCCGCCATGTACCCCACCCCCAGAACCTCTCTGCACACACTAATACACTTGCACTTTCGTGTTATTGACCGCACTACGCTATCATCCTTCCAAAAATAGAAACAAACAGCAGTTATTCAAGAAATAAGTCTCATGTAATCCAATTTTTTTCTATATTGATAGTGAAATTACCGTCTTATGTTTGTAAGACAGACATATTGGAGACCACTCTTGAAACCTTTTGACATCAGAGCCCAGCTTGAAGTGAAGCACTTGTCCAAGTTGAGATCATTCATATATTTTTGGCCCATTTAGTTTTTATCTGAAACAACTGAAAACCATAAACTGACCTGCAGGATTCGATTGTTTACACTTTTCCTGGTCACATACACAGACCTGAATTCAGGCCTTCGTTCGTCACGCTATAGGTTAAAACCCTCTTTCTTTCGGGAGGGGGGTAAAGCGGGTCAGGGAGCTTTAACTCGGTGACAAAGCCTCATTTGCAGGTCAATGCGATGGCACACTCGCCTCTCCTCTCCATCCTACTTGCCTTTGTTCCCTGTCGCCTGCGCCGATGCCAGATGGTCATGGAAAATGCTAATTCCTTTTGGGTGATTTTTCTCCTTTCTATATTTAATTGCAGTCTTTGCAGACTGCCCCGTTACTTGTATGTTGAGTGGAAAATGTCATTTCAGTTTTTTCCCTCTGGAATTATATTTTTATACTTGCTACACTTGCATGAAACTACTAAGCCACTGTATATGTCAAAGAGGCTGCATCCAAATTATTTGCCACTTCAGACCAATAAGGGAGCCAAATTTTGGAGGAACTAGTGATGCATTTTACTAAAGACTGGCGATATTTTATTAGCAGTCAATGTAATGAATAAATAGAAAGAATTAACAGACTGCAAAGACCCACACATATTGTTCCGTTAATGCCTCCTGTACTTTTTAAACATCGACGTTATAGATTCATTAGGGTAAACGTTACTGATATACTCATTTCACTAAAACGATCAAATAGCTGCAAATAGTAATTTATCCTGTCTTTTTTAGAAAACCACCCCCTGTTATAAAAATAACTGATACAAATAAAAACAGTTTGTATGGTCTGTTTGATTCTTTACGCACATTTCTCAGAAACGGTGTGAATTTAACTTAAGTTTAATGTACAACGTTTCTCGTTTTTTAAAAAAGATTCTGGCAGATATTCAACGGAAACTAAACAGGCATGTTTCCAATGCTTCTTTTCCCACTTTCACTTTCGGCTTGAGTGATGCTAAGTGTAGATGAAGGGCGGATGGCAGCCTGCAGGGCGCATGAGGCGGACTCTCTGCATCAGCAGCTGCTTGTTTAATTATATTCGATCAGAGAAGGCTCGTTAATGATGCCTGTATGTTAGCTGTCATCTCTTTCCTTTATGTCCATCAAACATACACCAGGACTGAATTAACTCACAATTGTCTTACAACGTCTGCAGAGTAGATTTAAATTGTAAAGTTCCACCCAATATGAAGGCGTTCATATTATTTATGCTAAACTGCAGTTAGTGTGCATCGGAGTAAAATGCAACTCAAAATTAGATTTTGTGTATTTAAAGAGAATCTTAGTGAGTAGCGGTCCAGGCCTTAACCTATGACCTTTCCCAAAATGGTTTAAATTCAGTACCTATTTAAGAAAACGAATGCAATTTAAAGTTCTATTTATTGGGACAAATCTTATATAGTTACACAGTTATAGAGACAAAAAAGGAAGATGACCCCTTTAACTCAGAGGGGGGAGTGTGAATGTGTCCAGTCTCCAACATAGAAGGGACTTCATTAAAGTAACACACGAACAGCTGTTGTCTTTAACATGTAAACTATTGAGATTTTTAAAAGTACACTGAATGGCCTTGCAGCTCCCCGTGGGCATATGGGCGTTAATTAGCTGGATATACCCATAGATTAATTATAATATTTTTTTCGCCCATTCGTATCAATAGAGCAGCCAGACAAAGTGTCTTTTGTTCTCTGATGCAGGACATTCTGTGGCTGACTGAATGGGTCTTGGCTATGTCTACATGGATTTGCCATATGGCAACAAAAAGGAAAGAATGGAGCCGGAGAGCGCTTTGTGTTGGAAATCAGAACAAGCCCGTCAGAGCTTATGGCTGCATATGCTGACAAAGTCACTCTGGCCGTCAAAAGTCTCCATTTTCATCAAAACATTAATGTCAACACTATTCAAATAAACCAAGAATCTTAAGGAAAATTCTGAAATGTTGAATTATGAATCTTCCGCGCAGTGACATGCGGTCCAGGCCCTGCGCGCATTCAGACACTGCTGCATTTGGCTTCTTTCAGTTAAGGGTAAACTTGCAAGTATGACCTGTTGAATGGTTTGTTTCAATAGATGAGGACAATTACAAAGACTAGTAGTCTTCTTTTTCCAGCTCTGGCAGGTGGCCTCCACGCCCGGTGTATCCACGGCGGTAAACAGTGTGTATGAGTGGGTCTTTAGAGGGCTTGTTGAATGCGGGTGGATGTGGGGGTGTCTTCGTGGCGGACAAAGCGGAGATCCAAAGGCAGCTGCTTCTTTAGAGGGGCGAAAGGGCCTTTAAATCCCAGCCTATATCCCGCAGCTGCCATGCTGCCCAAGGCTGCACGTCTGAATGCGTTTTTCCCCCGCAAGGTATATAAGCCCCCAAAGGCCGTGTGATATAGACGCAGCTCAGTGTTGGCCTACCTGCGCGCACGGGGTGGACAGTCCTAAATGTCTGTGATAACACTGCATGGATTCCTAGTGGGCTGGTTTTGTTTTTGTTTGTCGTCGCCTAGGTCTGCTTCAGTATCCAAAACATTATTAAGATCTAACCAAAAAGGAGAATACGGAAGTAGACTATTTCATGGAATCTACAATTAAATACTTTGTATTTAAATGAATAAACACGGGATAGTTCTGTGACACCGGAAAACGCAAACACACCAAAGCCTCTTTTCTCACTTTCAGTTTCAAGACTACAGTACCCCGCTTAAACAAGAGAACCAGACAAAAACACAACAAAAATCAGCTTCAAGTTGAAGTGAAAAATATTTTATTCGCATCCTTTGCAAGACATAGGCCACTTGTATGAAAACACTAAAACGGCTCAGACAAACAAACAAACAAACAAAAAAAACAAAAAACAAAATACGTTCAAGTGTGGACAACTATGGGGAAGCTACATGATTGCAAAAAAACATCACAGCTGTAAATAATAAAATAAAAATATGCCCTTTGGCTAAATCAACAAGGCATTTAATTAACAAATATAAAGAAACATAAATAAATTATAAGTTAGAATAGACTTAAAAATATATATTTACAGGGAAAAAAAACAGAAATAAACATTTATAGGCTGTTGTCTCTGTAAAGCTGTACACTTTTGGCCAGTGTAGACAAATCTTTTAAAGTAATTTAGGATTGCACAGATGTTAAAACATTTAACACTGTCGAGTGGCTGTATGCAAAAACAACAATGTATGCTACATTTGTACTGGATAAAAGTCATTCCGCGAACGTTTCTCTCATTTCCCCTGCCTCCCCCCCACCCAAACCGTTCAGTCCTGAGAGTCTGGTATTTACGCTGCGCTCCGCCGGCGCGCACGGAGCTGGAGCAAGCGGTCCGTCGGGCTTCTCTCTCTCCCACAGCGTCGCCCCTTTTCTCTCCTCTCCGGCGTTTAAGTGGCAAGTAACAAACATCTTCCCCTTGATCCTCAAAGACGCACAAGCAGTGCAAAAACACCTGAGGAAGAAATTTAAAAAACGATAAGTTTTCAGAGGAACAGAAATTCCGAAGAAAAATGCGAGTCAGCTTTTTGAGGAAAGGAGACCCAACTCCGGCAGCAGGCGTCATCCTTTACCCAAGCTTTTCCCGCCACATCGTGACGCAATCCCCTCCCCCAACCACTAGTGTTACTACAGCTACTACTATCACTACTACGATTTCACCACCCCAAACTCTCCCCACCCCCTCCTAGATACATCTCTCTGTACTTCGGCTCTTGGAATCCGTTACCATTAACATGGAAAAACAAAAAATAACTAGTTATAAGGCATCAAAATCCTGAACACAAATCCTGATATGTAACATCATGAAAATTGGATGTATTTAAGGTGTGACAACGCAGCAGAGTCACATTAGACGAGATTCAACCATTTAGGTTTAAACGGTTTAGATAATATGACAAATCGTCATACCTTCAGCGGATCCGCTTTCGTGGAGTTTGTTCCACCGGTATTGGAGACTTGGAGAGGTGGCACGCGCTCATATCATTAGTTTTTCTATCAGCAGCCTTTTTTCGTTTCACGAAGAAGTCTGTAGGGAATAAGAAACACAGTTTACATAAATCTACTCGAGTTGAAACTGCACACTGAAGAAAACGACAAACAGGAAAGCAGAAAAATAAATCATATGGATGTATGGCGCGTCTCCGAAGCCAAGAGTGGACCCAGCATAAATGTGATCTAAAAGGTAAATGTCATAGGCTATATTTACCTGTGATGCGTGTGTTGTTGTCAGTAGTTGCCGTTCTCTTGCGTCTAACACACGAGAGCTGTCTCTGAGTCGCCGACCCTGAGTTGAGCTTGTCTGTGCGGTTCTCCTGGTTGAGCTCCACCGGGCAGGGGCTGCTGCTGCTGCTGCTGCTGCTTTCCGGCACGGCCAAGCGCTCCAGTACATCCATACGAGGGGTCTCGGGGAGAACAGAGTCCGTGGTGGGCTTCTGCTTTGCGGAGGTCGCAGGTACCCGGGTCCTGTCGTTTTGTATAGAGTCCTGATAAAATACCGGGGACTTATCCACCGGCACCGCTTCCCACTCGTAATCCCCAACCAGTGGAGTGTTGGCCTCGAAATTAAAGTTCCATCTCTGCTGGTCCCGCTCAGAAATCTCCCGCATCTTGGCTTTCATTTCCCGGCTCAATTCATCGTGATCCACCGGTCCAAAGAGGTTGCGACACACGCTTGTGCGTGTGTGGAGAGGGAAGGTCCTCCTGGCCGCCAGCCTCTCCAGCGCGCTGCTCGATAACTGGACGTTGGACATCTCCAGACTCTTTCCAAACAGCCCCCAAAATACAAAAGACGATGCCCGGTGTGGCTGATTTTTCTTTACGAGATAATATCAGGTGTTGTTGTTCTTCAAATATGAGTTTTTCTCTCTGCTTTCGTGCCTTCCTGCTCCACACAGTTTTGTTTAAATGTACCTTTGTAGTGAGATGTGGAGTATATAACACTTCGGGCAGAGCAGGCACCTCGGACGACTTTCTTATTGGTTACGTTAAGTCCAGCCCTCTGCAAAAGCACGCACACCACACCCACCCTGATTTTCCGTGGGCCCTCGGTGCCCACTTGGCTGTGCGCTGGGCTCGGAATTTTTTTTTCTCCTTAGAACCATCGATGGGCCAACCTTCCCGATGTCAGCCTTGAACCTGTAGCAGGATTTCAGGTCGCATTTGGGTACTTACAAAAGTAGCCGGATCCATTATCGGACACGGATTTGTTCACCTCATTCTTCCGCACATTTTGGCTACTGTTGTGTCGTGCGTCCGACAATGGGCCTAACAGAAGGCCTGTTGTAATAGGCTATAACGGTATATCACTAAATGGCTGTACAGTCGATCTAAAACGGTAATATACATAGAAGAAACCTAATCTTACCAGTTTAGATGCCCGATATTTGAACCACTGACATACACACGCACAGTCCAAGTGTAACACACGCGTCCTCTTTTTCTCTCTCACCACAATAACAATACCAACGAGCTCTTCGGGTCATAAAGAAGGCTAAATTCACACAGCAGCCAGCAGGGATTTTGCACAGATAGAACTCATTCGGCTTTACGCACGGGAGCAAAGTAAACAACAGTAAGAGGAGGCAGCGTGATTTAAATGCAGCAATGAGTCGAGCAAAGCGGTTTTTCTATAAACAAAGCGAGACATTTTTCCAAGCAACCGACCTTAAGATGAAATAGTGTCTTTTCTCTTTTTCTAACTGATTACAGCCTTTGTGTGTTAAAAAGATGTTATCCAGTTAAGTGGCGGGTTACAAACCCTTATAATAAATAAACGACTGCAAAACAGTATCTGTATGTGTCAAAACACACAATGAAGAATAATGAAGAGTAAGTTTACCAACCAAGGTAGACTGTAGATATGACACAATCAGGCTGTCACAACTAATGTGTACGTGTTAATGCATCATTATTTAGCTTGTACGTTCATTTCAGAACAACAGGAACTTTAAGTGCAAAGTGCAGACTCCCCCCAGTCTGCTGCCCTCAGATCCCCACAGGCAGGAGAGAAGGGGCAACGCCTTTGCACCGGATAATAAATGCACAGCGCCTCCCTGCGCTTTAAAACTGGGAATGCAGTGCAAGTTTTATTAGAGTTCAACATTATATACCACAAACTCCCTTTAAAAGCACGTCTGTGTTAGTGAACAGTCCTAGATAAACCAGTTTAACTTGTTTTACCGTTAAACTGGACATCAGACCTCGTTGCAACAGTTCTTGTTTTACAAAGTGTATTGATCCTGATCTGCAGGGAAATGTATTTATTATTTATTTATGACTTATAAGGTATAAGCTACATAAATCTGAATCTTAAACATGCACTTTTGTCTGTGTAGGATATATTTTTTCACTTATGCAGGCCTAGATCTGTTTTAAAGTCTGGTCTCTACTACGCTATGCTTCATCTCTCTTTTGGATCCAAAAACATTATTTTACCTTTTATTTTTATGGAGTAATTTGACCTTCAATGATCTTTACTGCTCCTCTGATGTCATTTTTTAAAAATGCCTTTCAAATACATTTAAAGTACGCTCTCTTGATTGTTTTAGTTAATTATAACAATGGAAATGACTGGATTAAATCTTGAGACTGTTAGGTTGGTTAATACCACACATACCTGATCGTCATTTAGCCTCTGATTAGAACCAGGAAACAAAACATTCCTTTCAGTGATTAAATCCAGGCCCAAACCTCTGTACGTTGTTTGCTGGCTCCATCTAGTGGTGAAAGGTAAAATGTGGCTGTGCATGCAGAAGTGGCCGTTTCATAAAATAAATGGGATGTAAATTAATAAATAAGCACCCAATTTCACCATATTATCAATGTTCATTTAAATCAATGAAATCTATAATCACTAATTTACCGAATGGAGTAGAGGACATGGTGCTGAAGTGAACATCACTTCATAGTGTAACCATAACAGTGCTTGTGTTCTGGTCATTTACATAAAACTCTGCCCTAACACAAGATTTTGTCACATGTTATTACTCAGTTTCTAGTTGATTAGAGATTTACCTTGAGAAGTACTGTTGGAGGAAAGTCAGGCGTATCTTACTGTCAGACAGATGTTACGACAAAACCTGCATTCATTTCTTTTCAAAGATATCTCAGCTTTCATCAAAGAGTCAGTCGACTAGGGTGGTGTCCCCTGTTCCATTTCTCTGACAAATGCAGGAGTATAATTCTTTCATCTTTAAACACAAACACACCGATGCAAATATACTCACATATCTCTACTGGCTTAACTTGCTCTTTGACAAGAACAGAAATAACCTGTTCAAAAGACCCAAGCACTCTAAACTCTTAAAGGACAAAAAGACGTTTGGTCAGCTGACTGTACTGAGTCAATAAAGGGTAAGGATCTGACGCTTCTCGTTAAAGTCCACGTATCTGTAGGAATAATCTGACTATTCAGAGCATTCATGCAACCTTTTGAGTTGTCCTTCTGATGTTTCTCAAACATCTGAGTTGCAGTGATAGTGGTATTACTCATTCGGCAGTACTTTTAGTACACTGGAATTGTTTGCACTTTATTTTAAAGATCTTGAGCCAAGAACACGTTTGGATGTCCAGACGTTCGTGAGATGACAATTCAAGCCTAACTGACTTGTAATAACATGATCTGCATCAACAGTAGACATTTTATCCCTTCCATTATCCCACAATGGAATTGAAGTGAAAATTAAATTTTTGTTTTAGCAGATTGGGTTTAATTTAAAAAATATTTAAATAGTTTCTTTCCAGATGTTATTGAAACAGAATGATACAAAGGTGAATGATAAATGATCAATAAAGACACAAAGGAATGCTGATCGACTAACTGTATGTATAACACTATTTAGCTACTCATTAACTACCTGTGGGCTAGACCATTTGTTTTTCTTTTCTACAAACTGAAGTGCTTTGTGATCTTCTTTGGTGGCTTGGTGTTGCTGTATTTGAACTATAAATGCATTAAATAAAAGGACCGTTTCCAGGGAGGTGCTGTCCCCCCCACTCCCACCAAAACCACTCACTTAAAACAAGCTCATCCTTTTGATGTTACAGAGAGACTGCAGACATCGCTACAGGGCCCTTGGAGGAGGATATAGTGGTAATCTAATCCCACAATCTCATGTGACACCTACAAAACAGTTTTTCACCCTAAGAGGAAAACAAAATTTTAAAATCAATGAGCAGTGCAGAGGCTATATTACATTGGTAATTCAGTTAAATGACTCATTTAAGTACACTGCTGAGTTCATTGTATTAATAGAATGGTTGATTTGGGCAGCTAAACATTTGACTCTTATAAAAGCATTTAAATGTACAAAGGCATTAACAAACAACAACTTATATAGACCAAAGTATTCTGAAGAAAGGTTTATTGAGTGTTATGGCTGCATTAACACAAGTTAAGAATTGGTATATTTTCAGTTACCAATCAGTCATAGGTTCTGATCTCTGAATGTAAAACCTAAATATACTAGAGTAAAACTTACATTTTCCTTTGAGATTCAGCTGAGTAAATGTATTATGTTGTTGGAAATACAGAAGCTTTTTTTGTTAATCTCTGGCCTGCAGTCCTGAACTCTGGTCATGGTGGTTTTACCATGTGCTGGATAGTTTTTAATGGTCAAATAAATACTGTCCTGTTGTATAGATCAGTTCTAAGAACAAAGTTTGGTTTGTCCGGCTGTAAAAATCTGACTGGCATTTATGCTTCTCAAGCAGTGCACTTCCAAGAACCCCCTGGAACAGTACTGCAAGCACTACAGACTACAAACCATAAATCATCCATATTAGGTAGTCGTAAATAATTTAAATCATTAGTGAAGCCATTGGTTACAGTTTATAACCCTTTTCCTCAGAGCAGCTCTTGAACACATCCTTGGATTTTCAGGTCAATCCTGCACTGACGTCTTTCTAGGCCTGCAGGAAAAATGTGAGTTGCATGTCGCCTGTTCTTATTATGAGATTTCAAAACACTATCATTAACTCAGTATATATTACAAGCAAAGCGTATAAAACAGCTGACCTCAGCTAATTGACCATTCTGGTCGGAATGTCAATTAAATAAAGATTCAACTAGAAGCAGGAATAGAATGTCCGAGGTAACAATTGTGATTTCAAAGTAAAACCATTTTAATGTGCGGATCTGGTGACTCGCAGTCTTTTATACTGAAGGGAACAGACCGGACATGATGTTGCGGTTGCTGTTCACTTGACAGCAAGCGGGCGCCATCCCCATGTGATGTGTGTTTTCAGTGTAGGCTGTATGGTTCGAGGCAGTCTCCGGGTTAAACGTGATACAGTCAACAGTTTAATTGCTTTTCTTTTTACCTACAAATCGGATTCAAACGTGTATGCAGATGTAGCGTTGGCACCTCCTGAACTCACCCGGACTGCAACCATTAATCTATTAAATTCAGCTGGTAGGTGGCGCTTAATGCTATGGTAATTTTAAGTAGCAGCTTCCCGAATTTCTAACGTAAAGACAATAAAACACATAACCTAAATGGTTAAACGTGGTCTTGAGTAATTATGGTGTTAAGCCTGTTAATTCTAAGACCGTCGGTTCACTTAGCATTGTTACCGAGGTCAGATAGTCAAAAATAGCCTGCTACAAATAGCTAACGCTGTTAGCCAATCTGACGTCGAGACTTCACGCCGTTCTCGCGGTGCACATGCTGTGATTTGTTTTTATTCACCAGTTAAATACCCATACCGTGCTTAAAATGTAAATGTTATTTACCCGACATGACGGTCTCGCCTCCTTTAGCAGAAGTGCGCCTATATCAGTAGGCGGTGACAGAGAATAGATATCACGCTACATCTTACTGAGCAGCGCTGGGCGGTGTTATGAAGTTATAGCGACAGAGGGACTTGATTTTCAGGTTATTTTCCCCCCTTCCTCGTCTTACTAAAGTTCATTTCCTTCTGCCACCCCAGGATGCTGACAGTCTCTCGGGTGGAGCTTAGGTGGATGAAGGTACACGGGAGCAGGGCCCGGGGATAAGCACAACCGCACGGGACTGTTTAAAACCAGCGACGGCGGTTGGTCATTGAAGTCATGACCAAAAACGAGGCGAAGAAAAGCGGCTTGGCCGTAAACAACGCTACCAGCAAGTGCGCCACAGCAGCCTCCTCTGCCGAGCAGGTCAACAGCGGCTCAGTGGAGCCAGACTGTCCGGATCAGAGCACACCGATCAAGGCCAAGGTGATGAAGCAGACCCCCAGGGACACTCTGCACTGGAGAAACACGGAGTGCGAAGTCTATGACGATGGGACCAACACCTTTTTCTGGTGAGTTTTTTTTTTTCTGGCAGTGCCGAAAAAGTCAGCCCTGAATGCTGCATCATCCGAAGAGAGTGTGTTGTTTTGTCGGGAATACAAGAAAATACAGAAAATGAACAGCTACTGCAGAAGATGCAGGCGTGTGGTTACAGGAGTGTGCATGAAGGTTTCAAGGTGAACTGACAGACAGGCCCGAGTGACCTCAGTTAATCACGGCCAAGTTTGTCGTAATCTTTAAATGTGCAGATTGAAATAGTAGCTTTCAGGTGAAGCAGAATTATGGTTAGGCGAAACTGTCCAAACGCAAAATGACAGCATGAAGTCTTGAGGTTACTCCATGTCACAGGTGTTCTGCTAGTGTTTACTGTGCTGTCATAGGGGTTTACATTACACATCCAAAGGCAGGGTTTGTTGTTGACATGAGAACATATCCAACTTGTATCATGATAGGTATGGCATCACCACACAGCAACAGTAGTTAGATTACTTTATTACTCTCCACAGAGAAGCTAAATTATTACAGCAGCCACCATACAAGTACATAGAAACAAGAAACAAAAACAGTTGCAAACTATAAAATTGGAAATAAGAAATAGAATAGAAAAAGAATATATGATGTCAAGAAGGACTTCTTCTAGTGTTCTTTGTCACAGTGGAGCTGAAGAAGACTCTTGATTACAACAATAACAGCTGTTGTTGTTGTTGGCTAGTAAAGTGGAATGATTGTCTCCAACTTCAAGCTGTGCCACAGCTTGTTCCAGTAGTGAGGTGCATTGTGTTTAATTAGTTTTCTTAACAGTAGTTAATTCCCACTGTAACTGCACTCCCAGCTTAGTCTTAATGGAGAACTGATTTGGTTTGTTCACTTTATGGTCAGCTTAGACACCTGGACAGTGAATCATATGACGTTCTAGAAACATATGGGCTAATACTGCATGGCTAAATATACTGAGAAAGGTATACAAAATGTTTGTCACTAAAATGTGTAGCAATTTAGTCTTTCCTGCCAGAACTCTCCTTAAAGTTCATGTAAAAAAACCCCACAAATTCCAACCACATACTCAAAGTAAATCATTATGGACGGGGGCTGTTTGGGATATCAATAAAGACACCACAAGGGTGTTAATGACACCACACACCAGCACTGAAATAGTTTGTTATGGTGGGTTTCTGATTATGGAGGCGGTACAGGAATACTCTGGCTGTGTGTGGGAGTTTTGCAAGTGTTTGTGAGTTATATCTAAGAACTGTTTGTTGAAGATTGCAGTTTCCCCTGGTTGTTAAGGAGAAGAACATTGTGACATGCAGTCTGCTCTATTAGCACAGACTGGGAGAAAAGAGGGATAGCTTGGATAACCCTTATGGAGAACTCTTCTGTGCTGGCACACCACTATTGGTTTTTCCTTTAAATAGCTTTGCTCTGCAGACATTTCAGTTCCAAGAGGCATGTGGGATTGTGTTGTGCATTTTGATTGCTGTCAGTGGTCTTGGATCAAGTTTTATTTTTAAATGTTATTTTAAGAGAAGAACTCTTAATTTAGGATGGTAACACCACTTGAAATAGAATGTGGGGATTTAACTGGACATAATTTTAATTAAGTCCCACGAGGCCAGTGAATTTATGATTTATAACAGATGGATATCATGGAAACCAGAGGATGTTGTGGTGTAATGAGTAAAGTCAAGCAAGTTGTGCTTAAAGTCACATTTTTTGCTCAGTAAAGTCACAAACTGTATTTGTCAATCCTATTTCAACCTTACAGTGGGCCCCAGGACAACACAAGGCTATTTCTGTCTAATCTATGATTAGTTCTAGGGCTGTCTACATCTAGTAACTTGTTTTCTCTGAATGCTCTCCCTCAATCTTAGTGGTAAATTTTGTTCTAGCCTGTCTTGCAGTTGTAGCGGGATGGTATTTCTGCTGTCTATTCCCTCCTGGTGGTGGTGTGTGGTTGTCAGGCAAGAGACAAGCCAGGCTCTCCCCTGTGTCTCCTGCCAAACAGGTTGAATAACACAAAGGAAATGCTTTTGACACCAGGCATTAGGGGTGGGACGGATCATAGAACTAACGGTTCGGCTTGTATCAGGGTTTTTGGGGTCACAGATTGGATCTGCATATGGTCTAAACTGAAAACAACAATCAAGATCCTCAATGTTTAAACAAAATCTTAAAAGAAAGCCTAACCATAAGCCTATGTACCATAACAGTTTTGTCCACCACCCTTCTTCTGTCGTCACATTTTACAGGAAAGTTAAAATGCTCACATACATGTGACTTAATGATGCAGGGGGCTTTTCAAGTTGTTCCACTCCTTCACTAACCATGGCTATTGGTGCCAGCTGCTTTAACACGCCCCTTTCATGTGAACACAAGTGCGTTGTCTCTGTGTTCCAAAACCCGACCGGCACGGTGCAGTGTGTGCCGGATGGGCGTGGTCACTATTCATTTTAACTGTACCACATAACAAAAGGCACAGCCAAATGAAACCACCCTGTGTTTTCACTGCAGCTCTGTAACATTGCATTGGAATTTGCTTTTCAACACAAGAGTAACAACTTCACACTATAATGATTAAACTCAGTAACCATGGTGTTGGTCCAGTCAGATCATGGATCAACCGTGACCCATCCCCCTCTACCTGGCATGTTGTGACCCAGACTCCTCAGGGCAGGAGGAAGGTGTGATGTTCTTTAGTTTGATGGATGACAGAAGTAATCTCAGCACATATTTTTAAACCATTGTCATCATTTACCCTTAAATGATAAGTCTGATGTTGTGTAATCTTTTTCTTACTTAGTCCCCTGAAGAGAACTTTGTCTGTGTAGCTACAGCCTGACAACACACATACACCTGCCACATATTAGGTTTAAAAGACTTGCATGTTAACAAATAAATGCTGTCAGCTGTTCATAGGCAGCTGCTGAGGCAGATCTCCAAATGCTGACAAAGGCCAGCATTCTCACTACTTAGCCTTATTTTAATTTCCTCTTGCTTCTGAGAAAATACCTGGGTCTCAACTAGAGCTGCTATTGTCAGCTTTTGTTTTTTTTTCAGATATATCAGCATTGCCATATATATATTGATTGAAAAGTAACAAATGACAGGACAGACAGATAGTTTAAGGTAATTTAGAAACTGTGGACAAGATACTTTATTTGGTGTCCATCTCCTGTCATATATTAGTCACAGTCTTTCTGTAAAGTTTTTGTATTTTACATCAGAAAATGACTATTGGCCGATATAGCCTTACTGGATTTTGAACTATCAAACATCATTACGTAATCATTTAGCACTTCTCTTGATGGTCACCCATGTTCAGCCGCTTGGTAACCAAACACTGAAGTTCAGAAAAGTATTTCCCTTGAAGCGGCACTGCTTGCATCTCTTATTGCAGCACACTGCCCCTATGATTAGGTCAGTTGAACCTGCTGGCTGCTGTTGAGCTTCACAGTTCATTTGTAGGTCATTTGGTCACAGTGCTGTTTGGTATCAGTATTTTAACTGAGCTTTCTGGGATGTTTCTGACAGCCAGTGTACACTAAACATACATTTTGAGGATCTGCTGTAGGTTATAGCTTTCAAGTGTGTGGATCAGGCTTGATCCTATTGATTGATTGATAATGAATATTGGCTGATTCCAGCAGTCGTCCAATCAATTTAAGCATCCCGAGTATAGGCTAGTATTACACCTTTAGTAACTACAAATGGGTTCTCAGCTCACACTATAGCTCATTAATATTGCTAAACCTTCTCCCTTGGTTGCATTGGATAACCTCAGCAATTCTTTTTTCTCTTGTCCAGTGACTTTTATTGAAGTTTCCTCTTTACAAATGCTGTTAACGTCCCACTCTGTTCCTTCCCTCTCTCTTTGTCTTCAGGCGAGCCCACACACTGACAGTGCTGTTCATTCTGACTTGCGCTCTGGTCTATGTCACGCTGTTGGAAGAGACCCCCCAGGACACGGCCTACAACACTAAGAGGTCAGTGGGCTGGACTCGTCACTTTCTTGCCATCCTTGTAGGATCCAGTACACAAACCCAAAAAAATCTAGTTTTGGCATGTTGCACTAGGCTTTTGTTTTCAGATGTGAAGGGCTCTTAAGGCGACTTTTCAAATACAGAGTCAAATGCAGGAAACCACCAGCACTCTTTGATGGATTGTGAGACCTGAAATAGCTGGGAACATGTTTCTTAATATAAGTGCTATGATAATGAGTTGCTTACATTTTTTTAAGGTTTCATTGTGTTGTGAGTGGGTGATTATGTGGGATCATGCAAGAACAAGCAAGCTACGTAAATGATGGGTGTGTGCATTTGAGACAGAGACTGACTGTAGGTTGTTTTTACAAAGCAGTGTGGGATGGTTCCTAACAGGATTTGCTGTAGTCAGCACAGTCCAGCTCATCAGGATAAAGACCCTAGAGCTTCTTCCTGGCAGTGTCACGCACACAGTCTGAATTAATTACACGTAATCATTGACACACGGTTGCATAAACTCCTCATCTCCCACTCGTACTGAAACACCGGGCTAACTGCTCACTCTCACTAGTTCACACACACATGTCACACACAGTTGTACTCTTTGAATCAAATACACTTGCAGTCCTGCTGCCACACACTTGTGCAATCATTCACTCAGCCATACGCACTCATGCTTCCACACTTTCTGGCAAGCACAAGCTGTAATCTCATTGTATGTCTAGTGTCCAGTCCTCTGTGGTTAATTTAATATTTCACTCCAGTGACTTTGTCCAGTCTCCTGGTTTTCAAATCTCAACACAGCAACGATTAACAGCAAAACAGTGTAAGAGCAGCAGGTTCAGATTGGCCTCATGCCTCAAACACAGAGGGAATGGTAAGAAGGAGTAATTGTCTATGGGCAGCTGGAGAGACAGGCCTTCAGATTCATGTTACATCAAATTATACCCCTTTACTTTCCCCTTCCTGCTCTTTGTACCTATGTTTAGTCTTCTGATTATTATTGATCTTTGAGAAAAGCCCAAGGGTTAAAAGAACGGGTTGTTTAGAAGTGGTATTGGTCCACAGAAAAATACATTTTTATTATTTACTATTTGTATATATAACATAACATCAACTTAAATTCCATCCTGTGTGTTGTAATTGTGCTCCTTTAGAGGTATTGTAGCTAGCATCCTGGTATTTCTCTGTTTTGGAGTGACACAAGCCAAAGACGGACCATTCACCAGACCACATCCAGGTAAGGCAAGAACATTTATAACATAAACAAATATTTTCTAAACCTGTTTCCCAGACAAATCTCAGTTAAAGGAACACTTTCTTTCCTTGCTCTTTAAGTTGTGGTGTTTTAGTACAGCTAGTTAGGATGTACACCATGATGCGTCTGTGTTTATATTATTAGCTGCATAATAAAAGGTAAAACGCCAAACAAAAAATGGTTAGAAACATTTTTATGAACTTGAGCCATTCAGGCAGTTACTGATCTGTTTTAATCCCACTCTGAATTGTCCAGAACATGTCAAAGTGACATTTGTTTGCCCTGTGTCTATATTTTCTAGATAAGTGACATGGTCAGTTGTTTCTGTGAACAGCAACTGAACATATCAGCCACTTAGCGTATTCAACAGAAACTTTGAGCTATTAATTAGCGTACTCTTATCAGAAAAAGCCCAGGTGTTGAGACTTTTCAATGGCACCTTGTCTTCCTGTATAGATGGGAGCAGTTACCACTACAATCAATAGCAATATCTGAGAACCTTGTGTTGGCTTTCAGTATGATATTTAGATCCTGTGAGTGCTCAGAATCAATGCACACAGTGGCTAGCTAAATGTAATTGTCAAAATAAAGAAGACATTTGAGTAAAACGAGAACTGTTAAAAGCAGGTGGGGTGTTTTCCTAGTATGGGTTAATCCCGGTCAGAACAGTTAAGATAAACACCAACAAACTGAAGTCAAAGAGATGAACATCATCTGTTTGACTCCTTTTCTGGCTCATGATATGCAGCAACACTGGGGCTTAACTAAAGAGCTTGGAGAGCATGTTACTTGTGCAACCAATAAACAAGACAGGTGTGGTTTGTAAGAGCCATGTCAATGTAATGTAAAACATTTCTGATATTTGCCCGAGTCTGGATGTCCAGATGGATGAAGATGAAAAGAGGAGATCTTTGAAATCACATCATAGTGAAGCTGGTAGCTGATGGGTTTGTTAGAAAGCTGCAAGAGGAATCAGAGAGAGTGACTTGTTGGATTATATCCTGTATTTATAGGCACAAACTCTGAATTAGAAGGCTGTATGAGTAATCACCACTGGGTATGTCGCAACAGATAAATCCCGTGTTTCAGTTAAACACAGACGTTGAACTGTGTGGTGCCTGAATGTCACAGAGGCACTGTTGCAATAGTTAGACTTCACAGTTCATGAGTATTTATCTTAATTGAATGCAGCTCTTTTTCTTTTTTTCAGCCAGGAATTTAAACTTATTGTTACTAAGCCCAACTGTGACTTCGTGTACTGTTACTACTAAAAAGTAATGTTAAAGGTTCTTAAAAGTAGTTGCTGGTTTTTAACCAGGTCTTTGATGCAGAATACACATCTTGTCAGTCACACAGCACTGTAGTAGGGAAGGAAGACAACAGGGTGTGGAGGGAAGACGGAGGTGCACGTTGAATGTTGGCAGTTGTTGGAGGTGTGAAATGGGTGGGTGGGTGGGTGGGTTG